GAGAGAGAGAGAGAGACAGACAGACAGACAGACAGACAGACAGAGACAGATCAAGCCAAGATCTCAAATAAGGAAAAGGAGCTATCAGAAAAAAGGAGAAATCAGACAGCCATGACCTAAAATGTCATACATGTTACCAGAATCCCTTGAGGCACTGTGTAAGTTTCCCACAGGCCGTGACAAGAATCACTACATGGGAATTTACAGGCTTGAACAACAGTTATAAAAAGTGCTTAAGAAATCCAAGATATTATTATATGATAAATAAACATTCAAGGCATGAAATAAAAGGCATGGAGATTAAGAGTCTGGTGAAGAGGGGGGAAAAGATGAAAAATGTCCTCTCTCTGGGCCAGCTGGTTGGAGTTACATTTTATGAGCAGCATGTGAATTCCAGCGCCCTTGTTGAATTAGCAGCAGAATTGCACATTAGTTTTAAGGCTCCCTCTCGGATAGGAACATCATAACGTTTTTTAATTGGGCCTGATAAAAACGTAGCATTACTTGTAGGTTCCTGAGAGAAGTGAGTTGTGAAATTGGGTTTTCATTAAACCTAATGATGGAAAATTAAGTATAGTGCGTCTGGTGAAATGGGGTGTGATAAAAGGCATCACTTCTGCATTATCAGAGGTTAATAAGGGAATAGGTGAGGTAAGATACATAGGAAAAGGGAGTCCAACTAGTTGAATTAATAAACCTTGAAAATCCCTTGGTTCCGAGTCTTCATAGCATCATTAGCACTGGCATTGACATTATTACAAATGTTACAGCAACACAAGTTGTTACATCTCAAGCGCATTTCTTTTCCATTCCAGGGTTGGTTTTGCTGACACCAAGTTTACAGTCTGTCTAGCAATGTGTTTAGGGAAAATAGCCATATTGATAGCTATGTGGTTTTGGAAACATTTGATGTCTTACGAAATTTGCCAGGTGCCTATTCCCAAGAAGCCTGCCTCTGCCAGGCAGCTCATCTCCCTGGCAGCCCATGTCTGATATCCTCTGGGAGACTGTGGGTCTCGGGAGACACCTTACCCCCTGTGAGACAGTGGTTTGGGTGAGTGACGAAGGGCTCCAGGCTTTGACTCTGGTGCATCCTCTCTGGGAATCATGGAGTATGGCATCTAGATATTCTCACTCAAGTGCTCCTTTCCTCTGTATCCTCAACCCCTCACACCTACGCAGTTTTGACTCATCACAGGAGTGGCATGCACTGGCAGGATGCCATAGAACCCTGACAGCCAGGACACCTCCAAGAAACAGTGTGAGTTTTTAAAGAAAGTGATTCTTCTTCAGCCCTTCAACAGCTTCACACTGACTTCAAGAGTCTACATTCAAAGCCTTTCTGGATACTCTGCAAGCATCTTCTAAGCATCATCCAGTGGCTTTTATTCCATGTCAACCTCTCTGTTCTTTCCTAAATGTACCTTTACTGCTCAGGCTGTTTGGTGTTTGTTTGTTTGTATGTTTGCTTGCTTGCTTCAGACTATGCTTCCTATCTGTTTTCCCTATCAGACTATTAATCCTCAAAGATGAAATGTGTATTTTCTTCTGTGGTTTTCACTAAGTCAAACTGTTTTTTTTTTTTTTAATATATTTAGTCTTTATAGCATCTCACTACGCAGTTTTGACTCATAGTGATCCTCTTGTTTTTCAGCCTGCCAAGCGCTGGGATTATAGGAGTATGCCGCTATGCCCAGACTCTGTGGCTGGCTCAACCTGCCCTGGGGGAGGGGCTGGTGCAGCATGTAGTGCCAGGGATTGAGCTGTGGTCCCTGTGCTTGCCTAAGCTTGCTTAAGCAGGCGCTTTAGTCCTCTGAGCTATCTCACCAGCCCCACTAAGTCCAATTCATGATTACAAAGGTGTGAAGGAGAAAGAAAGCAGCCTCCACATTTGCAAGCATTAAATTTAAACAATGTTGTACAGGTGTATCTACCTTTTACCTAAAATCCCAGTAGGAAAAGTAAGCAGTGAGGGTTTTTTTGTTTGTTTTGTTTCATTTTTGTGTGCAGCCAGGAAGGTTTTGCTAACATCTCACCCTGACCCCTCTTCCTTGTATAAATCTATATCTGTGAAATCTTTCTGTTGGGAATCCATGAGAGATTAGTCTGATCCTAAAGGCCAAGGTCTGCTGTGGTTATATTTACTGACCACACTGAATCAGGAAGTTTTAGAGACCACACTCTGTACACACGGACCCCCTCCTACTAATTAGGTATGACCCAATTAATGTCTTAAGTTCAGACCCATTAAATTGGTAGCCCCTGATCCCTTAGGGGAGCAAGGTACTGGGGGCCGGCAGAGAAATGGAAAATAAGAAATGTAGCTCCCACCTCAAACACAGATATAGATGAAAGCATAGAAGCTTTCCTTATTTCCTCCCTTATTTCCCTCCTGAGGAAACCCTCCCTTATTTCCTCAGGACCCTGAGCTGTCAAGGCTTTCAAATTTGGTCTGCTGGACTTTTAGTGCTGTCAGGAAAACTGGAACAAGTTGATCATTCTAAAACTCACACAGGCCAGACATTCCCTTTCAGTATCGTTTTCTTACCAAGAACTGCCTGCCGATGCTGTCATAGAGGAGTTGTGTGCTTTCACTTACAGTCTTATCTGATGGATTATTGTAACATGAGAGGCAAACAAGCTGAAGGGAACATGGCTTTTGAAAAGACAAGTTGCGGAAAATCAGGAACGTATGCTGAGCTTCCCAGGGAATGAGTGTGGTACCAGCCTTGTGGCTGTCTGCACTGGTGCCTCACTGTGTCTGTCTCACCAATCTGGGTGAGACACATCCACCTCACTGGGTTTGCATCTGTCAGTTCTCATCTCATGCATGCTATAGATGAGACCATCCAGGGTGGAGACAGTCCATGTCCTTAAGAACAGGTGGGAAAGGGAGACAACCCTAGGTGGATCTGCAGAAGATAAACAGGTCCTAAAGGACTGATAGCAGATGCCTTGGTAGGACATGTTTACTAGTCAACTTTACATCACTCACAAAACATCTAACATACACAACTTAAAGGAGGAAAGATTTACTTTAGCTCATGATTTCAGTAGATTCGGTCCATGGTCAGCTCCCTTCAAGGCAGAAACATCATGGCAGAAGGGCATGGTAAAGAAAAGCTGATTTCTTCACAGTGGCTAGGAATGTGGAGAATAAAGACACAAGAATGAGATACATACCTTTCAAAGGCGTGCTCCTAGTGACCCACCTCCTCCAACAGGACTCACCATTTAGTAGACCATTTAGTCATGAAATAATCAGTGGATTGATCCATGTTAAAGCCCTATGATCAAATTGCCTTCTGAAAGCTGCACCTCCAAGCATGTGAGATTTTAGGGGGAGAGTTTAGATCTAAATCAATCAGTTTTATAGACCAAAAGAACAAGGGAGGAATTCAAATCCAGTCTGAGAATGTGTGTTTCCAGAGTAACCAAACCAATGGATGACACAACCAAATCTTTGGGTACAAAATTTCTTACTGGGAAAAGCATAGTTCTTATATTAAAGGTGGATTTAATGAACAGGGACATTGAGTAGGTCCAATGAGACATTGCTAGGTCCAATGAGACATTGGACCTAGGCATGGAAGAATCACTGCAGGACTGAAGGAAGTTTGGGTTTCTTTACCTGCAACATGGGTCCATTGACACTTGTAAGTCAACAGTATGAAGAGGGAAGCTAGATGATAGAAGGTGGTGGTCATTGTTGCAAAGCCCATAGCAAGAATGAATATCTGAAAGGTCAGGGTCTCTGCTAGCTGCTGGGGGAAAAAGACTGACCCCAGTTCTTCCTACTGTACACGCCAAGGACAGCAAAGTAGTAGAAATAGAAAATTTCCAGGACTCAGGCAAATAGTCTAAAAGCATAACTCTGATCTCCAAGTATCTGTAGCACTTTTAGTCTACAGATAAATATCTAATTCTAGTATTTCTGGCACTCTCTTCCCTAAGTAAGATTGTCTCATAAATATTTAGCCTATTTGGCTCCTAAGCTACTCTAAAATTGACTGGAAATCCCAGATGTCTTAAGGAAGAAGTGAAGACAGGTGAGCAATGACCACCAACCTGAAAGTGTATCTTTCTCAGTATATACCCTTGAAAGAAAGGGAAATGAGTCAAGGGTCATTGTGTTCATTCAGCTTTTGGTTCAGCTTTTGGTTTGTTTAAATATTTAATTCTACTCATACAGCCATGCCAGGGAAGCAGTACGTCTCCACTTTCTGTGATTTATTGATCAGTCAAGTCCCAAGGTAGTTCCTTCTTCCCTCCTTGGGCTGCACTAGGGTAGGCATGGAAGACAAAGGAAAAAGCACCCAAGATGATGGTCTGCTCTACCTCCTTCTCTTTGAAGCGGATGGCAGCCGTGGGGAGCTATCCCAGCCCACCCTCACGATCCAGACTCATCCCTACCGGACCTGTGACCCCGTGGAGATGAGCTACCCCCGAGACCAGTTCCAACCCGCCATCCGGGTGGCCGACCTATTACAGCACATCACCCAGATGAAGAGAGGACAGGGCTATGGGTTCAAGGAGGAATACGAGGTAAGATGTCAGGGGGGGGGGCTGCCCCATGGCTCCTGGGCTTATTTGGGTGCTGAAGCCTTGGTCCTGGTGCAGAAGCCGCAGCAGCAGCGACATCAACATCACCTGTGAGTGTGGCAGCTGTGCACCCTCTTGGGGCCCACCAGACCCACTGAGGCAGAATTCGGATTTTAAAGAATTACATCCATAGTAAACTTGGGCAGCACCATACTAAAAATTTTATTTATTTGTTACTGGTGTTTGAACCCAAAGACTTCACACTGAGCTACATCTCTAGTTATTTTTCAAAATTTTAAAATTTTGACACATGATCTCACTTACTCACCCAGGCTGGACTCAAACTAGCAGTTCTTCTGCTGCAGCTTCTCAGAGTCCTGGAATTATAAACATATGCCCAGCTTAAAAGGTGTTTATATACCCCCACCTGTCTTCTTTTTGCTCTTTCTTCTTCTCATACCTTGCTTGTCTCCAATATTTTTGTTTTGTTTTGTTTTTGCTTTTGGAGGAACAGGGGATTGAACTCAGGCCCTTGAGCCTTCCAAGGAAGCGCTTATTCCACTGAGCCATATCCCTGGCCCCTATCTCCAATAGTTTGATGCTTTAGAATCATGCCTTCTTTCAGTGTGTAGATGGCTACATCTGGTGTAGATAGGCCCGCTGGGCTCCCCTCTCTTATTTCTGGCATGCCTCCTTGCTCCTGACCTCCTGCCTGTACCCATGTCTCTGTGCTGCTCTCCCCACTGTGAGCCAAGGCAGTGCTTCAACTCGGGCAACTGCTGTGTCCTCTCTCTGTGCTTTTTCCCTACTGCTGAGATTGGACATCCTTTCATTCTTTCCCCAAAACATCTCTTAACTTAAAGGATTTGCCTGTGTGTTGTGGTTATTACTTCGGAGTGGGTAGTAATAGAGATAAACCACAGAACAGTGAAAAAAAAAGTGCCTTAATAACATACTATTATTCTTTAAGTTCCTTAGCCTTCCAGATCACTGATGTATCCTCCAAGGTACCCAGTATGACAAGTCTTTTCCACACTTTCCTGCCAAAAAAAAAAACCCTTTTTTTGAAGTCTTTTCAAGCTACCATCCTCTTGCATCCAGGGAAAGGACTCCCACGTTTTCCTTTGTTATACAGAACAATTTACTTTTCTTTGCCTCACTGCTTTTGTTTCAAGCTTGGCCCATTAGACCTCACCTTTTGCAAACAAATAGTACAATAAAATAGAAGGAAAAACTCATTACGATGTTTTCTTGAACTAAAGAGCAGTTCATTCCCCAAAAAGAATTCTGCAACTCTTCCAGTGCAGTTGAAATCCAATTGCATCTTTTCCTTCCCTTTCTCTCTCACTTTCTTCCTTTCTTCTAAAAAATGTCTCGAGCATCTTCTCTGTGCCATGCTTTGAGCAATGTCCTCCCTCCCTCTGTCTCTCCCCTCTCCTTCCCTTTCTCCCTCCAACCTTCCCTTCCTTCTTTCCTTCCTTCCTCAACCAGCACATGCCCCAGACAGGTTCACTTCAGTTTCACTGTGTGCAGTGAAAACACCAAGGTTCAGACTCCACACACTTGGAATTCTTGATGATGCAGACTAAGTTTATGCCTCAGACAGTATTCTGAGAAATTCTTACAAAGCAGTTTTTCTGAAGCCATGCAAGGTCATGAAATTATGCTGCATTTGGGGGTTCAGACAGCTAGATTCTAGTACAGTAAACTGTGCCATCTTCGCACATCATTTCAATACCTGGGTTTTTTTTTTTAATTCTTTACTATTTGAATAAAGAGTTTGGATAAGGTGATTTCTAAGGACCAGCCTGGTTCTAAAACTTTATGAGAGTATAAAACATAGTGATGAGGGACATGTTTGGCATATTTATGAGGACAAAAACATTTATTCAATAGATGTGAATAATGGCCAGCTTGGGAGAATCTCCAGTTAATTTCAAATATGGTCTGAGTGAAATAACATTTTAAATTTACCTGGTCTGCAAAATTTGGAAAGATATTGGAGTACAAGTTGAAGGAGATTGTCTCATTACCTCATACCCCTGGATCTTATTTCCCAGAAGGGTGAACGGGCCCAGCCCTGGGGAGGAGGATCCATGTGTGCATCCCTACGTGCATGTGTGCAGATCTAGTTGATGAACAAACACCGGGAGGCAGTGTGTTGTTTGCAAGTCCACACTCAATATGAGAACAAGTCATTAGTCATACTAATTGGTCACATAACATCATGGATCACCAGAAAGGGGGGAAAGTGGCCAACAGCTGAGAAGAAACTCTTGTTCTGCAACCTAAAAGTTCAGAACACAAACACAGATGTACTCAAATAGTCTGATGCATTCTCTTCTGCAATATCTCTTTGAAAGCATTCATCCATATAGAATGGGTTACTTTTTTAATTTATTCTTTTTACCTATTTGTATCTTCCAAACTTTCTAGCATGAAAACTCTTTCCATTAGAATTAAGCAAATAATACATGTTAGTCCATCAGTTGAACCCCAATCAGAAATATTTCTAATGAGGCTATCCTTGCCTTTAATTAGATCAAATTATATTAATCAGCTTGCTAGAATGCCTAGCATCTAGTTAACAGCAATTTCTGATTAACTGAGGGTTAATTGGAATACATTACTTACTGAAAATGTGCTAATCTCCATAATGTACTAATACACTGTCTTAGACTATACTGGATTTGGCTTTGATCATAAAGGCTCCCTTGATATCTACAGTCTTCACCCTGAACATGAGTCAGATCTACTTGAAACTCAGTGTCCTATTATAGATTTGAGACTCCTAAGTCTCTAGTTCTGCTCTCAGGCCAAGCTGCTATGTGCTGTCTGCTGCCTCTCACTTCTCTATCCTGCCCTGCTTTTTCATATGAATGAGTAGGTTTGATAAGTTGACACCTATAGGACCTCTCAGCTTTAGCAAGCTGTGTGTTCTGAGATTTGATTCAATTGCACAATCGCTTACAAATTTTTCAGTAAATATTTGCTATTTACTATTGCCAAGGACTATTCTAAGTATCTGAGCTACGACAGTGAACACAAGGAAGATTCACACCCTAAAGAAGCTCATATGCCAGCAAGGGAAACGAGAGTGAGCATGGGCTTAAAGATAAATACATTAACTAATGTAGTAACAGAGAAAAATATTGATTGTTGTGTTACAAACTATCCCAAATATGGACAACATAAAACAAGTCATTTGTCGCAATCATTGGTTCTATGGGTTACGAGTTTGGACAGGGCAGGAGAGAGATGCTGCATCTTCTTCCCATAGTTTCTAGAACCGTGATTAGGAAGACTCCAAGGCTGGAGGCTAAAATCACCCGAAAGTGCCTTTGTTGCCGTGTCTAATGATGGATGCAAGCTGCCAGCTGGGATCTTGGTGGGGTGTACCTACAAGAAGACCCACCCTTGGCCTCTTCAGGAAGGCAGAGCTTCCTCACAATATGGTAGCATTGTAGTAGTTGAAGTTCTTACATGGTCAGTGAGAGCTTCAAAGGTGAGCCTCCAAACTATGATGAAAAGTATAATACTTTTGAGACCTAGACTTATACATTACACTCCATCATTCCTATCACATGCTATTGTGTATAAACATATGAAAACTGGCTCCATCATAGGGGAGGAAAATAAGACTCCTTCTCTTGATGCGGAGAGCCAGTTGCCAGAGCCTAGAAAAGGATACAGAGCATAAGGTATTGGCAAGTACAATATAGTCTGTCATAGAAAGTACCATGAAAAGAGAAATAGTTAATCAAGGAAGAGAGATGATGCTTTATTTAGGGACAGGATGTAGGGAGATTCTAATACTAGATAGGGTAGAAGTGTAGTCTTTTTAATGGGTGATATTTGAAAGTAGACATGGTAGGAAACATTTGGAGGAAGAGTTCAAGATAGTAATATAAGTGGCACATACAACCAGGATCAAAGAGATGGGTGGGGAGGACAGGAATACAAGAAGCATGAGGTAAAAGTCATAGGAGATTAGACTGGACAACTAAAGAGACCAGATGCTGTCATGGGTTACAAGCCACTACAAGCACTTTGAATTTTACCCTGAATGAAATGGAAAGACGCTTCAGTTTGGAGAAGACAAATGATAATAATCTGACTTCTTTTTTTCTGTATTGAGGACAGGGTCTACAGGGTCTCACTATGTACAGCAGACTCATAGTGATTCTCTTTTTCCACCACCCAAAGTGCTGGGATTACAGCGCATGCCACCATGCCCAGTCTCAGTCACCTTCTCAGTATGCTCTCCCCAGGAGGAGGCGGGGGAGAGCTGGCACGGCACGCCAGGGATCAAGACCCAGCCACTGCATCTGCCTAAGTAGGCACTTTAGTCCACTGAGCTATCAGGCCAGCCCAGAATAATTTGAATTTTTGCTGAAAATTCATTCTAACTCATGCATTGTCAACAGGACATGGAGAGGCAAGGGGAAAAGTAGGGAGACCAATGATGAAATTACTACAGTAATCCAGGTAGAGACAGTGGTGACTCAGACCTTGCAAAGCAAAGAATTTGGCAAGAAATGATTGGGCTCTGAACGCATTTTAAAGACAGAACCGACAAGATTTTCTAACACATAGCATATGAGTGAAAGAGGCAATTCAAGGGTGACTCCAAGTCCGCTTTTTGAAGCACTGATATGGCATTACCACCCGACATGAGAAGCTTCTACTAAGTGAGAATTAGAGCAATAAGGAGTTTAATTTGAGCTGAGTTTTCAATAGCTATTAGACATCTTAATCAAGATAGCAAGAATTGGTTTTATGGATTTGGAGCTTGAGAAAGGAACATGAGCTAGACAGAAAGTGGAGGGAATCATTGGCATGCAGATAAATATTAAATCCTGAAAGTTAGTTACTAAACATTTAAACAGAGACCAGGACTAGAGGATGATCATTCAGAACTTCAACTTGAGAAGATTTGGGAGCTCCATCCATGGGTCATGAATTGTACGAGCTCCAAGGAAACAGGAAGATGAAATATACAG